GCAATGGTCTTAGCTCTCGGTGGAACCAGGACTCGTGTTTGGCCTTCCGTATGATGTTGCGCAATTCTAACCACACTGCTATTGCGGAAACTTTGGTCTTTAGTCGGTTGTAAATAAATGTAAATTATTAAATGTGAAAAAGTTATTCATACGCCATGGCAAATAATTAGAATTTTGACTGACATAGAAGGAGCTTTCATGACGACTTTTCAGAGTGCTAAAAGGCCAAGCGCTTAAGAACTCTCGGCTGTCCGAAGCATTAAATAATATGCGCTTTATTTTTCGTTGATAACCACATATCTGAATAAAAACCCTTTGTAACATTTAATGGCTTAATAACTATCAAGAATATTATGAAAGATTTCATTAATATCCGCGAATGTAGAAAAAATATTAAATTATTGATGACTAACTGCGCAGAAAATGCTGTAGAAATATGTAATTGGAAAATGGATAAAGAAGAAAGAAATAGACTCTTGAATATTTTATGTTTATGTAAAGGACCGTAGGAGAAAAAAATGTTTTTTTTTTTACTTTAATTCAGCACATACAAAAGAAAGAAAGAAAACTTTTCGTGACTGTTCTGATCTATGCCCTGGGAAAATCAATTTCAATTTTAATCGATGATACTAAATACACCTCGGTACATACTAAGTTTAAAATTATTAATTTTTTAATTTATATGTTTATATATATAATTATTCACTAATTTATTTACTTATTTTATTTATTAATTTGTTTATGTACACTATTTACTTATATATATATTTACTTTTTATTTATTTATTTTTTTTTTTAAATTTATTTGCTTATATATTTTTTTATTTACCTATTTGATTTTTTAACAATTTTTTTTATTTATTAATTTATTTATTTACTTATTTATTTACTTGTCTTATTTATTTCCTTTACTTGCACATTTATTTATTTATCCATTTATTTAATTATTTATTTTTTTATTTATTAATTTATTTATTTACATTATTTAATTATATATTCATTTATTATTTTATTTAATTATTTTTTTGATTATTTATTTTTATTTTTAAATTATTTGTTTATATATTTATTTAACTATTTATTTATCTATTTATTTATTTATCTATTTATTTATTTATTTACTTATTTATTTACTTGTCTTATTTATTTACTTTCTCACTTATTTATTTATTTTTTTATTTATTTATATATTTGTTTACATGTTTATTTATTCAATTATTTATTCACTTATTTATTTATGATTTTATTTATTTAATAAATTATATGTTCATATATTTATCCATTTGTTCATTCATTCATTTGTTTATTTACTTATTTATTTATTTATTTATTTGATTATCTATTTATCTCTTTATTGATTTATAAAAATATTAGTTTACCTTTTTTTTAATTTATTTATTATTTAATTTATATGCATATTTTTCTTATATTTATTTATTTATTGATTCATAAATAATTTTATACATTTATTTTCATATTCATTTTATTTTTAATCATTTATTTATTTATTTTTATGCATATTTATATTTGTTTAGTTTTTTATATATTTAATTTAAACATTCTTGCGCCTATCATTATTGCTGATTGAATGTGAAGTAGCTTTTCCTGAGTAAGTAAGGCCAACTTTTATCTGCCAATGTTGAAGCATACAGATTGCTTGCTCTGTTCTTTCTTTTAATTCATTTATTGTTCCACCGACCAGACCTAAATAGAACGTATTCCGAGCTGGCAGGCAACCAATTTCACTAGCCCCTTGGATACATATCGCGAGTTTCGTGAACTGCGTGTTTTTTGTCTCTTAGATAATTTTCGCTTGTTCTTTATCAAAATCTGTTAGCCAGTTTTTTCGTGTTTTATTTTCCTCTTAGATTCTTTGGCTTTTGGTGGTCAATGAAACAAATTAACTTAACTTTTTTACGCTAGTATTTTGATTGACTCCTTATTTGGGTAAAAAATGCCAGCTGCGTGATGACTAAAAAAAGATTTCGAATAGTTCATTGGTTATTTTTTAAAGCTTGGAATTGGAGCCGTTTATTTTAAAGGGATTTAAAATCTTAAGAATTTAACCGCTTGAAGGCATGTCCCTTGTAAGGGACAAAGCAAATTCCACAGATCTTATATCAGTTGGGCTTATATTATATACCGGAATGGTATGGATATGAAGAAAAACATATTTACACGTCGATGGAATCAGACTCTATTGTTATTCGTAAATATTACACGCATGTAGAGCAAATATTTGTAATGAAAAAAAGAAAAATTTTAATTAATAAATGGAAAAAAAGGGAATTAAACTAACAATTAAAAGTTAATAAAAGTAAAATGGAATGAAATGGAAGGCAAATAATAATAATCCGTAGCTTAGAGTAATAACCTCCACTTATACTCGTAAGTTTAGTGCATGTAAAATGGCTCAGCGCGGCGTATGCGTTATGCTGTAAAGCCACTGCCAACTGCATCACGTATACGCCGTGTCGAAGCATTTTAAATATTCTGGAAAAAAATATATTAAATCCACGCAAAAGCAAATTAATCTACATGCAAATCATTTATTTATTCATAACGTATATTTTTCGTTATTTATTTTTATGATTATAATAAATTTTATTTAAATTAATTTGCCAATCTCCAAATAAATCGGCCACAAAACATGCTTCCGATTGAAAATTGTAATATCCGTATGCATGTGGGTATACATTTAGCGCATTCTCAATGTCATAAGCTAGCAGAAAAACTTTTCGTTGCAGTTTTTATTAAACTGAAAATCGATATGATATTTATCATTTTATATTTACGTGAAATTTGTTATAAAAAAAAAAAAACAAAAAACCGAAAAAAAGTGTGCATAAAAACCATATAATGGATATATTGTATGTGTGTATCACTATCTAATTGTTCAATTAAAAGTTTGTGACATGTTAATGTGACGGTTGACAACCTTCTACATACATATATACTATTGTATACAGAAACACATAAACACATACCAACATTGACAGAGATTTTGATTAAATGATAACGGTTGATGGCTGTCAACAGTTTAGCACATTCACATGACCCACATGCACTCAGCAGACATTATATATACATATTTGTATGTATATGAGTATGGATTATTAACTTAGTTTATAGCAGTGGATGGAAAATAAATAAAAAGTTTAAAAAGCGCACAAAATGCTATACATAAACAATAGGCTTTTACATAACTACAAGCATATAAATATTGATATATGTATGCCCATTCAAGAATGTGTCTAATTCAATTAAAAAGCCATTTATTTTCCACGCTCTCCCCCCTGCTGCCTGCGATGTCTATGCCCCAGAATCACATTTCTCTATGAAAGTTTTGTTGATAATTTCCCTTCTACACTATCCACTGTCAACATAATTTCGCTCAGCCATTGGTATGTGGGAATGTGTGTGGCAAAAATCTGTTACGAAAATATTGATTTATCATCATCGCTGTGTGGAAAATGTCACATTAAAAGCACAAACTCACATTTGATTGACACGTTGCACGGTTGTGTGGCGTAAATACGGTATTTTTATGTAGATGAGTGTTTGTTTTTGATTTAATTCGAAGTAAATCTAATTTAAATGGAAATAATAACTATTACATATGTATGTATGTATGTATGTACGTGCATTTAAAATAAATAAATAAAACGAAAATGTGCGGAAAATGAGTGAAAGGGAGCGGCTAATACTCGTAGTCTGTATAGCATTTTACTTTTAAGCATGTGTATAAATACAAAAACAACAATGTAAAATGACAACAATAACAATGATTTCACGTAATTAGAAAAACCAAATTTGGGAAAAATGCTTAATGACACATACATACAAACGTACAAGCTTTCGAGAGCAGTTAGATTTCTCTGTTAAAATATCCAAATCAACTGCCTTTTAGGTAAGGCTAGGCAGAGCCGGCTAATCCATTGGCTCTCACATACAACGATAACACATCCATAGTGCTGCCAGACACACTACATGCGAGCTAACTGTACTGCTACGCATGTCACTGGTGTGTAAAACATTGAAGTTTGAACCTTAGCATTGTGTTAGGCTTAGTAAAAAGTAATCCATTAATTTCACAATAGACGCCGTTATTTATCGCTAACTCGCGTTGTATAAATTGAAGAAAGTTACACGTTGGTAGGGCGATCATAGAAATCCGGGGATCATGTCATAAAGCCTCCTTATAGTCGATGAGCTGATATGAAATTTTTGTCCAATAATCTGTCCAGAAATCGTTTAATAGACTGAATTTTGGTACTAAACACACAAACACATATACAAAAATTAACACCGAAAGTCATAAAATCGGAACACTGCGTCATAGAACGCCCTTCTGCCATTTTGGTAGATATGAGAATTAATATTTAATAACAAAATAGAGATGTGTAACTGGATTATGGTACCTAAAACATCTCGTCGTTTTATTGCTCTTCACTCTCTTACCTTCGTTCTTGTCGAAAAGCAGTAGTTTTATACGCAGCTAAAAGTAAGGAGCTAGAGAGTAATAGAGAGTTGCTGATGAGCACTCTCTGAGAGCCAGAGTGCATGTTGAGTAAAAACCCGTTTGAATGAATCTCGTGTGTGAAGCTTACAACGTCAATTCACTGTGTTTGCTTTCTCCTACAAGCAAATTGTCCAAGAGAGTGTTAGGAGTTCCGAGCGCAAGCACGTCTAGAATACTAGAGACATGTAGGGCGGTTATCATAGCGTCGTAGCTTTGGTAGTGATTTCTTCGATCCGGAGGCAGGTGTGAGGTTCGATCGATGCAAATGCTGTCGATCAGCACAAATATAAATTTTTCGACCGTTGTGCAGCAGATACCTTCCTTTTTTTCCAGAAAGATTAGTTTAAAATTGCAAAATTGACCTGCTCAAACTCTAAACTTCTGAAGAATATTTTTTCATACGAATCTTTTGTCTGTAATTATGTATTAAATTAACATTTCCACTCAAAACCACTCATTTTTTTTTTGCTCCTTTCAGTTAATAAAATGTCGCCACGACCCTCATTGGCGCCAACCGAAGACGGTGCGTATAGTGGAGCGTATCAACAGCAGACACAGGACGCTTATGCAGCGAATAACAATAACAATAATACAACAACTGGTGGCAGCACAGCAAATGCGGCGAATTCATCGAAAAATGAACCAGGACGACGGGAGGGAGCGTGTCGTGTGTGTTTGAAATCCTTCAAACCCGACGATTATCACAAAACCTGCTTCGAGTGTCAACAACGCGTGTGTGAGGATTGCGCCAGCTACAGTAAGCTGGAGGAGAACGAGGATGCGGTAAGTGGCAAAAGCTGTTTAATAAAAAAAAAAAAAAAAGAATTGAAAACTGAAAGAGAGCGCAAAGTGTGATGTAAAACAATTAATTTGATGCTAAGCAACTTTAAATGTTAAACGTTTCAATGAGAAACTTTGATTTTTTTGACGAAAACACACCTGGAAATATACTTTCTATCGATTTCTTAAGAAACATTAATTGGTTTGACCGGAGTCTTATCTTTAGCTCTTAGCAGGCAAGGCCTCTGTCTACTCGGCTAGTTAGACTTGACTGTGGACTTAAGTCATATTTTGGAATCTCATTCACTGCTTTCAAAAACCTGCTTAATAGATATTTGGTGGATCTACAGCTTCGAACTTTAGTGTATTAGTAATTAGTCCACTATGAGTTAATGAGAAGCTAAGCTAAGCTAAGTTTTATTAGCACAGATATCGTAACATTTCGGTCTAGTAAAAAGTAATCCATTATTTGAGTACGCACAGTTTTGATTTCCCATAGAAACCCGTGTCCCTATTTACAAAAACTTGGTATAATCGGATGGCACAGGCTTTCCTTTAGATAAACTCTTCCCCAGCTCAATGATTAGCCGTAGACAGCAGCAGATGGTAATAATATGATGCGAGGTCTGGATTATAAGGTGGCTGCTACCAAGTCACGGTCGATGTGGGTGGTCTGGTGTAGTCCTAATGATACACAATTCCCCTGCTTTTTATTAAAGCGGGGCGCCTTTGGTCGATTGCTTCCCTCAAGTGGTCCAACTGCTGATAGAACGAAAACGTATTAGGAGTTCCGTCGTGGGCAGCACATCATGGATGACTCCTTGCCAATTCCACCAACATATAGCAAAATTTTCCCGGCCCAGCCAACACTGATTTGAAGACCGTTTGTGCCGGTTTGACGTTACTTTAAGTGATCTTCTTTTCAACACCAGTCACATCCTCTTAAGAAATGGGTCGATCTTATTTCGATCAGCAACCAATCGCAGTTGGAAATTCGGTCCATGAGGTCTCGTTAACTCATGTGGCATCCAGTCATTGAGCTTATTTGTTGTGCATCCAACCTTTTTCGAATGGTTCCGAGCTTTTTATTGTGCAACTTTTAGTTTCTTGGTAATCGAAACAGTGCATACAGTCGGTCTCAAAAATCACCATTAGTTTATCGATAAATTTCGACAATTGGCTTCCATACCATGGAGCATGTTCTACATTGAAATTACCGAAACGAAATCGGCGAAACCGAAATTGGTCATCATTGACTGTTAGGATGGGAGGACCATCATTGTAGTATGTACATATATGAGTATATAATGACTGAAACGAAACGATTTCCGGCATAGCTTCTCCTCCAATTTGTGGTTTTCACTCTTGATGTTTATTTCCAACAAATGAAGAGACCTACAGTTTATACTAAGCCGCCTCCGAAAATCTGATGGGTTTTTTTTGCTGAGAAGCCTTTTTTTCATGTCCGAAATACACTCGGAGGGGTTGACAATGCCTGCCGAGAGCGACCGCAAGTAGAAAATTTCACATAATCTTTTATTGAACTAATTTCCTATAATTTTTGGTTGTTGAACGGACCAGCCAGCCTCGGCCTTCTGAATGGCAGTGCGAAATGCTAACCATAAACATTATACAAATTATCAGTTCCTGGACTTGCGTTCTCGCCTTTGTCGAAGAAAAATTTTGGAATAGAGGGTGTTTCTTGTTTGCTGGTGTCCATCTTTGACATCTATTCAATTTCTCCTGAGTTAAGAGATCAACACCTCGCTCGCTATTATTTATTAGTGCGAAGCATCATCTTTCTAACGCTAGCTAGGGTAAGCACCTCATACTATTGCAACAACTAGAGAGGCCAACTTTTCGGAAATGCCAGAAATGACCTTGAAATTAAGAAATACAATTTTATTTAATGATTTCCATGAAGTTCAATCCTCAGTTTATTATTTGTAATGAAGCCTCGACTTAAAGCATATACCCCCGTAGTATCAGAGCAGCATGACGCAGGTAAAAGGCATTGTTGTAATGTCTCTTCAGTGATTTTAAAATTTCGTTAAGTACACCTTTCATATCCAGATATCATTCAAATTTAACCAAATAACCGATTTCTGTACCTTAGAAATTACTGTTACTAATATTCTCTCCTCTTCTGCTTCAATATATATTTTTCTTACAAATTTCGACTACTTTACTAAACTTATATTTTTATTAATTTTTTTTTTTTTTTTTTGTATGAAATTTATGTGAAATAAATAGATTTAAATTAAAAAAAATTCCAACCAACACTTGCTCGTGGCCAATTTAAGAATTCGGACATGAAATAAAAATACTTAAAAAATGATAAATTTATTTAAAAACATAAATCGAGGAGCAAATAATACTTTGCAAACCAAATTGGCACAGCGCAGAATGCAACATAAAATTCCCAAAATGAATGAACTTCAATGATGGAATTGCCTTCGGTTTTATGCTTAAAGAAATATTTTTATCTCTGATCAACCAGCAAGTGGTGTTAAGTGCTTTACCTTTGTGCGTATTGGTGTGTGGTGTTAAAAACTGTAAACAACAACAATTGAGAACCAAAATTAAAGCAAAAATTGATTTTGCATCCCAAATGCATTTGATTGAAATTCTCCAGAAAACATTTGTTTAGATTAAAACTTTTGTTATAACTGAGTTTCTGCCACATGTTTGGTTGGGCGTCAGCTTCAATGCATTTTTAAGTGCACAACGTATTTGAGGAGGAATATCAACATGAATTATTGAAAATATACTAGTTTAATACTAGTCCAAAAAGTAGTGTACGGCTGAAGTCAGGGAGACAGTAAGCTTGATTGGTCGGTTCTCTGCTCATTTCCAACTTGAGCTGCATTGACTTTGGTATCTCTAGGATGTAGGGGCACCACAGCCACGTGATGACAGGAGCAATATCGTCATCATTGGGTCGTGAGATTGTTATTAGCAAATAAATGGTGAAAACACTTCATCGGATACTCAGATAGCCAATCGACTATTGCAGCCAGAAACATAATTATGGTTAGCTCCTAAATTATGAAGGAATGTTTGCCTGCACTGACTGTGCGTATATTTGTTTTTCAACTAATATAAAATTATATTTAGAACCTAAAACGCTGATAAACTTGCACGTATGGATGCCACCGCTTCGTTAATACTGAACAAAAATGACGTGAACGGTCCTCAAACAGCATGAGGACTAAAGCCTTGATGGGTAGGCCTTGAACTAACGCGCCGAGCGCTGGGCTATTTCAAAAGGAAAAGGTATGCGACTGCTTTGGCCTAGAATAAAGTGTGGACTAGAAGTCAAAACTCGTCCTCCTAGTGGAATGGAAACTCAGTGCTGCAGTTATTCGGATGAAAATATGGAATCAGCCAGACACTTTTAAATGAATTACCTCTGATTTACGAGGAAAAAGCTGAAAATTCACATTTCCCGGCATTGATATTTAGCGCATTTGTAGTTTTGTCACCTTCACTGAGCTATTAACTAAATCTAATCTAAACTAAGCTCACATTCAGGGTATTTCTTTAACCGTTGGTGGCATTACAGTGAGCGCGGCTTACATATGTGTCTATGTTGAATCGATTGGAGATCAGCTATATCTAACTAATCTCGTCTTAACCTACAATATATCCGTTAATAACAATATTATCATTTCCTCGACTTCGATCCCAAAAGCTAGCTTTTGATTTTTATGTCCATTTCGGACTAGTATAGGACTGGTAAAATCCTGACCGAAAACTATTCTCACCGTGTAGAATATCGGTATTTTAAGATATGATTTTATGCTTGTATACAAAAACCAGTTAGCCGACTAGTCCCGTTTACTTGGCTTGTCAGTTTTACGGTAGTTCAGAACTAGTTCTTTTAACTGTAGGGAATTCACTCTATAGTTTTCAATGAACGTACTTTGTATATATAACGGATATGTGTAATGCATTTATGGTAACAAGAAACTTTGGAATGCGTTTAGGAATTAATAGAAATACATATGTAAACATCGTGTATGTTTGTTGTTGTATAAAACCAATAGAATTTAATATAAATATTTGCAACTAAGATTCTCATGAGACTTCGCACAATGTGCTTTATGCAACCACAAAACTATGCTGGAGACCTATACACACACACATATCTGTATATATGTAAATACATACTAGATATATATGTTATAAATGGGCATACCACATATCCATATGTATATTTTGCTTTTGTAATGAAACTCTTTGATTTACTAAACTAATTTAATTTGTTAGGCAAAAATATTTTATTTGTGTACTTTTAAGATTTCAGGTGAAAATATTGAAAAAACTGTGTAATCCTTTGATTCTCTCTTTACTTTAATGAACAGTACACAGATCTCCACATTCTTGAAATTAGAACAAATCGAAAAAAATAAGAGAACACAGAGGATATGTATAAATATATAATTGACGCTTTGTAACCGCTAAAGCGGCTTTCGGTCCAGCTCATCCTCCGATTGCTGGTTTAAAGACTGGATGTTTTACCAAGAAATGGAAGGATCTACAGTTTATACTTACCCGCCTCCGAAAAGCTGATGGTTTTTAATGAGGAGCTTTATTTATTCATGTAAGAAATATAGGCGAAGGGGTTGATATTTCCTGCCGAGGGGCGACCCCAGTTAATAAAGGTTGGGTAGGTTTGCCAAAAAAAAATATTTTTCTGTTTATTCTTTGCCCACTTTTATCTTTTCAGCATAACAAACATACCATTGATTGCAATGCATTTCTTAAGCCTATAGATCCACTTCTCAAAAATCTTGACCTTTAAACTTATCAAGTTCATGCATAAACCACATTGATGAGCTCCTTGTTGCTACTAAAGACGTTTCTTTTTAAGTTTTGTTTGATTTTTAAAAATAACCAGATATCCTAAAAAGCTTTAACTGGGGTATATGGTGCTAAACGTATTTCTTCGATCCCAGATTTCGCTTTAAAATTACTCGTTTTTTCAGCAGTGTGGGATG